TCGTTATGTCTCGTTAAAATGGCTGTAAATTCCGGGAAATTTTAAGGTACCTATTTTAACCGGGACGTCTCGTCTCGTCTCGGTATCGTCCCGGAATTCCAACGGAAGGCTGAAAATTGTCCCGGTTTTTATTGCGAACCGGGACAGAGCCTGTTGTCTCGTCTCGTCTCGTCTCGGATTAAAAAAAATACCAAACGCAGGAGTCTAATCCACAGTGATCCACTAACTGCCAAAATTAAATACCTTATCAAACAAACACTGACTTGTATTCTCAAAAGAAACACATCATGCATTTATATTAGAATTAATCATAAATCATCTAGTTTAACATATTAATCATAAATCAGAGAGACAGAGCTGGGCACTGGGCAGCACTACTTTGAAATGTAGTAGCCACTACTGCTACCCCTACATGCTCTAAATGTAGCGACTAGCGGGTGCTACCACTACTGCTACAATTGCCTTAATTTAGCACAGCTACCGCTACAATTGCTTAAATGAAGCTTTGCTAGTGCTACTGAAAATGAAGCAGTCGCTACATATATTGCACTACTGCCCACCTCTAGTAACAACTAACATGTTGACAATAGTAAGTAGTAACAGGCAGAGGTTGACAACATTACACCAAAATCTTTCATACTGTTTTTTTGTATTTTATATTATGTATGTGTCATGCTGGTTTTTAAGTAATATTTAATAGTTTAATACTATTAAGTAAATCTAAAGGCTTTATCTATAAATGTAGTGGGTGAGCTGTAGTGGCAAAGCCTTTCATCGCTACATAAATATGTAGCGAGTGCTACCGCTGCAATTGCTTAAATGTAGCAGCGCTACCACCACTGAAAATGTAGCAGCTGCTACATGTAGCACGCTTTTGCCCACCTCTGGTTAATTACCAAACAACAATAGATACTACCTACCAAGAAGAGTATGTACAAAATAAAATTTGGAAGTACAGTCATGTGCATCTTTACTGCCTTACATCTTATGTAATCTCATTCTCAAATAATTTTGTCACAAGTATGCACTTCCTGCAAGTCATAACATCATCATTAACCTTATGATAGCGCAAGAATAACTAACATATAATACAACAGATAAAATTAGGCATTATTACATGACACATAATTACAAAGAACATTACACTTATGCTACAACACATTATAACACAACTTTAGCACATGTAATGTTAGGCCTATGTTGTGCAGTGAAATTGGCAAAGGGGATTTCATCAACTGATGATACCTCTATGAATATTAATATTATAATTATTAGATGGGTTTTCATCAGTTTAAGTGTACACAAACTCTTTGCAATCTTTTACTGCTGTTCAAGTACTATGACTGTGTTCATTTCAAACTTTATTGTTTATATTTGTATTATAGCAAATTATTTTTAATTAGTGACCATGCTTAATAGATTCATCAACTACAATTCACTCAGTTGATATAAAAATATTCTAGAAAATATGTAATAGTAAAAATATTTGTATTTGTTTGTTGCTCCATGAACTGGTTTCAGACATTTTATTTCTGCAAATTTTAAGCTTGCCCACATATGGGTTATCAATGAAATAAAAAAAGGAAAATTATGAATACTTGAATTCACCATAATTCCACAAATAAGATTTTCAGGACTAGATCCATTATCAGTGCAAAACTCCAAGTTTAATGAACATTAATACAAGATATTGAATGCCTCTGAAGGATATTAAAGCCTAGAAGACAAAAGAAAAAAGCTACCAAGGGCAAGAAATACTATATACCTATTTCTAGGTTTGTAGGATATTATTTGGATAGTATAAATTTCAAGTAAATGAGAACTGTAAGTAGTGTCAAGACTTAGGTTTTGTATCAAAATGTGCAGAGATTTCAAGATCCCTAAAACTGTGCAACTTGAGTTTAGCCTTAAAGTCTGCAAACTGCTCTTGGACACAATCTGATTTTTTGTTTTGTAGAGAAATCATTGAACATAGAATGTATATTTGTCTTACAGAACATGCAGTCTTATAATTTGTTTATATTTCAGGATAGTATACAGCTGTAGGACAATCTTATAATATTAACCAGATTATAACAATCACGTTGAGTTGCAATGTCTTATGACTATGAGAATTATGAGGAGCCCTTGGCTGGGGGCAACAATGTGGAGTTTTCTGAGAAGTCTATTCGGATGGCGTTTATCAAGTAAGTCTTTTTCCAGCAACTTGGTATTTTCAGCAATGTATACGTAATCACCCAATGCATTATCATATTAGAGTAATTTATATTGTCAGAGATTAAATATTTTTATTTTCTTTTTTATTCTACTCTTTGGAACTCCATGGTTTATGCAGAAATTTTTCTATTCAATATTAATAAATTTACTGCACTAAATTAGAGCTGCATTTTAAATTTAATAACAAAAATCTAATCCAGCTGAACAATTTGTATCTGAATACTACACAGATTATTGAATGAAAAGAAAATTTATATCTCCATTCAATATCAATGTCCCATGCCATGTATATACTCTTCCATTGGTTTTACCCATAATAACAAGACAAATAGGCTAAGCTTCATTAATGTAACCCAAATATATATATATATTTAATTGCATCTTTCATAAGCTGTGACTCCTAAAAAAAATTATTTATTATTATTAGGCTTGAAAGAAGGCTTAATATAGATAGGAAGAAGGATGTGGAGATAGCATTTATTGAAAATGTACGTATATAAATCCTTTAAACTTAAAGGAGCTTCTTGGAAACAGATACTAATTATACATCATGGCTTCAATTCTATCAAAATAGCAAACAATCTTGTCCATATCCAACAGGAAAGTCATGCTGATTTTGATGGCTCAGCTGACTGTTACATTTGGCATCATTGCTATCTTCACCCTGGTCAACGAGGTGCAGCAATATGCAAAGCAGACTCCTGGACTGTTCTGGGGTGCTTTTGTGCTCAGCATTGTGTGCCTCATAAGCCTGGCATGCTGTGGCAACCTGAGACGGCGACATCCTCATAACATCATCTTCTTGGGAGTCTTCACAGTGAGTCAGCTCTGTAATTCTCATAAAAAGGTTACAAAATTACTCAATCATTGTAAACCTGTTCCCTGTTTTTGTCAGGCTTGTTAGCCCAATATGTGTACAAAGTTCCTTGGATTATCAATAAATATCTGATGTAGCTGATGTCAGATAATATGGCTGTGTTGCTGTACAGGTTTGTGAAGGATTTGTGCTGGGCTGCGCAAGTGCAAGCTTCACCACAAATGAGATCATGATGGCTGTTGGCATATGTGTGGTTGTCACGCTGGCCCTCACCCTGTTTGCTTTCCAGACCAAGTGAGTTCTAGCAAGATGAAATCAACTCTTCATCTACTATTTCTGATGATATCCAAGTTTTTAGCGCATTTTCTCATTTATGGAAAAAAGGCGCTATTGTGCTCGTCATGTCTGTCCGTCTGTCCATCCGTGACCACATTTTCATCAATGAGAAAATGCGCGCTCTGTCACTCACTGCTGTGAGTACTGAGTTATATTTTTTTATGTTTGGGGGTGGGCATCCCTGAGGCATATATTGTATTTCTACTACACTTTATTTGTGTGTTCTCCACAAATATTTCATCAAAATTTATATACGAGGTAAAAATTCTTCTATTGTTAGTATTTAAATCAAACTGTGTCTGTAAGACAAAGTAAAAATGCTTACACTAAAGTGGTCAAAAAATGTCTCAAAAGAATACTGATGTTGAAAAATTAGGTTCCAAATTACGCATTTTAGTGTCAGCGCCTCAAAAAATTAGAATAGCTCAAAGCTTAAAATATTCCATAGAATTAACAATAATTATTATAGAATTCACATGCCTAGAACAGTGAGTTTAATTGAATACCTAATGCTCAGGATCGACTTCACCATGATGGGAGGCTTCCTGTTTGTGGGCCTGATTGTGCTCATGCTCTTTGGGATCCTGACCATATTCTTTCATAATCAGGTTTGTGATAATTATAAACTGATAAGTGCTTCTCAAAAATCATATTAACAAATTCATAATGAATCTTTCATTCCAATGTTTCTCTACACTGTAAAACTAAAATCAAGAATTCCAACCTACAAGTTCTCAAATGGCACCAATTTTGGCCCTCAATGAATTGCGATGCGTTTTTAAAGTTTGAATGTAATTTCTACTTCTAAAGTCATCTTCAGTTCTTAACCATGCATATTGTCAAAATTTCCGATTAGTATAACTGAGAAGACATGAATTATTATGCTCTAGATACTGCGTCTAGCAAATGACGTTATGAACAGATGTAGATGTTGTTGCATTTTAACTGTTTTCCTTTATGAAATTCTATTTAGCAACACCATCCTGCAGATAACTTGAAGGTGTTTATTGGCTCTCACACGACCACGTTTACAGATAACCAACCTTATTTACTCGAGTCTGGGAGCGTTGCTGTTCAGTTTCTACCTGGTGTTCGACATCCAACTCATGATCGGAGGGAACCACAAGTACTCCATCTCCCCTGAAGAATACGTCTTTGCAGCCCTCAACATCTATCTGGACGTGGTCAACCTCTTCATATACATCCTCTCCATCATCGGCAACGCGAGGAACTGAAGAGTTTCACTGCTTATTAGAATGATCTTCATTTCGAGTATTTAGTTATCTTGTGCTTTCAGATCGTTTTCATTATTTTTAAGATATTTTTCCTTGTTTTATATCACTTTTACTTCTCGTTTTTCGGTTGATTTACAAGCCTGATGAGGATTGAGGATAGTTTGTTCAAAAACTATTTACATTTGACGACAAGACAGTTTTACCAGCATTTCCAGTAGTAGAATGTATCGATTACTGGATCAAAGATTCTAACCTACTTTTTCACAGTTTTTTTCAAGTTCATCTAATGTACGTACCAGACTAATTATATATACTTTTTACAAAACGATAATGTTTTGATAATGTTATGTCATTCAGCTTTCTAATACATCAAAACAATTTGCCATCATCACCAATTCATCTCAGGCTGTAAGGAAAACAATAATCCATTATTTTATTTTTTCATTAAGTGAATCAATCTTGACCACATACACCTAGCAATGTTGTCACGAACTTCACACGACTTCCGTTATAGTTCTTAGTTGTCAACCACTTGAAGCTTTTCCGTTTGACCAATATTTATATGTGTGGCCAAGATTACAGGAATCATTGTAGTGCTGTACTTATTGGCTGATATTAGAAATTCAACGCTTCTAAAATATGCTGAAGTGATATGTAGGTTAATGTTGTTTATACTAAGTTATACAAGCAGCTGTGAATCAATCTATAGAAGAAAAAAACATTTCCAAATTTCGTTCGCGTTAAAATGTTTCTTTGACGCGTCTCCAGAACTTGTTTATAGTTCACTAGGACCTTGGTCTTCATTACTCTACCACCTGCTACCCCGTTGCTTTCACGTGCGCTTCGGTTGCTCGGTACTTATATCCTACAACGAAATACAAATGTCAACTGACATAAATTTTGTTTGTGCGAATAAAGCGTGTTGCTAAGCGGTAAGTTGCGATAGATTTTTGTTGTAGATGTTTGCTATCGAAGCCCGATTCTGTATAGAACGTGCTTTGCATAGAATCGGAGAAGCTTCTACTAGCTGTAATATTCTGAACTTCAATCGTTGAGAGACCACTGCACACAATCACGGTCTGTGTAGAAAATTCATCTTGCCCTCTAAGATATCAACGTTGAGCTTACCTGCAATAGCAGTTTAGATGTCCTGTTAACACGAACTAAAATTCGAGAGATAGTTTTACGCCAGCTGAATGTGTTCTCCTAGGCAGCTAAAGGGTGAACTTCAATTTTAGCATATTGGTGTCAATGAACTTGATAAAAGCAAGCACTTGTGCACATTTTAGCGCTCATATTATGGAACAGTATATACGTACTTGTTTACCGTAACTTGGAGTGTGCCTTGCGTTGAAATGGATTCTTGAATTTTCAAGGCAAAAAACTCTCCTAAATATCTAAAAAATATTTTTTTAATTTTTCCAGAAATATCTTTAATTAATGGCTAATACTTTTTATGACTGGGATTGATGCTTCTATGATTTTTGGGCATTTTTGACGACGTGCGCCCGTCAACCTTGACGACTATTGTATTGTGATTACGTCTCCATTGAAGGCAGGAATCTTTCAACTTGCATTGCTCAGCTTGATATTCGGACGAAGCATAGTTGGCCTTAATTTTATTGCCCTACCATAAAGCTGCCTATGTAAGCACGCAATCTCAGAACAGAGTGTCCAGGTTAGGTGGTAGAAATGTCTTTGGATTGCTGCAGTTGCAGCTTTTTAATAGTGTCCAATGAATTAATTCGTACTTATTCGGGGACGGTGGTCTAGGAGTCATCTTCTCAAGTGCAGTGCATTTGGTAGTACGCATGATGTGCACGGTTTGCAGAAATGTACTAAACTTGAATCGAGAATACTACCACGCATAGTTGATGATGGTCTAGCTGGACTGATCGCCCTGGTGAATTGAATGTATTCAATGTGGTTCTATTGCATCGATCGTAATGCCATTCCTTCAATAGTACTTCTTCAGTGGTAATGACACGCTTAATCTAAATACTTCTAATGATTAGAAGTATTTACCATGCGTGCAACACGTGCAATCTCGAGTTTAGCTTCAAAAGTTATTCATAAAACTCCTTTGAAGGATAGGGCATTTTTCTTGCTTTTTCAGATTGGCTTTTATGTTCTTCAAGTTGTTTTAATTTTGCGTTTTACCGCGAACTTGCCAGTCGACAAGATTGCGCATTATTGTTTTGTTCGTCCCATGTGTTCGGCGGTATTTACTTTCCGAAGTTTTCTGAGCTTTTATGACTTAATGTCTTTCTAGAGCATTATTTCTGTATGAAATGTGCACCTGCTGGAATTGCTCTCGTTTCCTACGGATTTTTTGTTGGTAAAGCAAACGCCTTGATGCGTGGAATAAAGCGCGCTTGCTTTTTTAATGTAGACATATTTAGATACACTATTTATTAGCAAGTAATAATGTGCTTAAATATATTAGTTCTTGTAAAATATGTATTTTAAATCCCGATTGTTTTGAAACTTGAATTTCGAGACGTTTCCAGTGTCCTGAATGATATTTATAATTTGCCGATATTATAGTCAACAAGAATGAATGAGGTTATAAATAAACAATTGTGAAACTGGTGTGCTGCTCCTGGCAGCTCTGAGTGAACAAGAATAATGTGACGTCCGTGAGAAACCCCGTGTAATTTTATATAAGATTAATCTTCGAATCGACTATATACATGCTATTGCTCGATCGAGCACTTACTACTCAGCTACGTTCATTGAATGGAAGATATTTTTGGCTGACTTGTCTACATGAAAAAGCTGGGAGACCGGTCGGAAAAGGTGCCGGGAGGTCTTATCGACCCTAGCACGAAGGTAAGAATTTTTTATTTAAGCTGTTTTATCATCATTTTGCAATCTTCTGAGTTGTACCATGAAATTTTCAATGTTTTCTGCATAGATTTGATTTTTAGCCTCATTGTGTCAACCTTATGTTACTATCAGCATCATGACAACAACTTCTGATTTGTCGAGGGCGAAAAGGAATTATAGGCTGATTTTAAATTGTTGATGTAACAAGTATCAGAGAAGCAAAATTTTAAAGGATGAAAAATTAGAAATTCCTCTGACAAATGCAATGTATGGTTCATGCCCTTGCCTAGACCATAATAACGTGATTGAAAACGTGAAAATGCGAAAAAATTGTTATTTTTCGATGCGAAAAAACTGGACATAGCTTGCAAGACGTTAAAAATTATTGCTTGGCCTCTTGAGTAAAATGACCAAAGTTCTAATTCCATATTATTGAAAATTCACCAACTACTTTAAAAGTCATTTAAGCGACTTTCATTCCTAAAAGTCTTAGAAACTCTGTTTGAACCCTGCATTCAATGAGCTTGCGCATTTTTAGCGCATTTTCTCATTTATGGAAAAAATGCACTATTGTGCTCGCCATGTCTGTCCGTCCGTCTGTCTGTCTGTCCGTGACCTCAAGTTTTCGTCGACGAGTAAATGCGCGCTCTGTCACTCATTGCAGTGAGTACTGAGTTATATTTTTTATGAATGTGCAATGCCAATTTGCCATTCCTAGAATAATTCAATTCATTGTTGGTCTATGATGTGAGGTCATAATCAGTGAAGCTATTCACTTGGGCGGTGCCTCTAACAATGGAATTTGACGTGTGTCTTTTATCTGTGGAATTTCGATTGTTCCGATGACTTGTGATAATTGGTTCAGCCTCTGCCTGGTCTCGCTCCTACTGCTTTTAGAAGCCTTGAACCGTCAGGTGTCAGCCGAAAATCAAGAGCGTCAAATATATACTATTATTTTTCTAGCAAGTTGAGATTTAGCTTTTAAATATACGGAACATAATTGTATTATTTTATTTTCAAATTTTTCTGTGCTCGTCAGAAAAATTTGAATGGGATTTCGCGTTCCTAGGGGGATTGTTCCTGAGCGCCCCACCGCTGAACTCGCGGTGTCTGACTGCAGGTCTTAGTTGTGGGGTTAAGTTATTATGTAGGTAGGATTCCTTACATTTCCCTTCTCTGTCTCTCTCGTGCGGGCGGCCGACGTCCCGTGTAAGCGACCTCTTGTTCGAGTGTCTTAGTTTCTGTTGCTTTTCACCTGTCCCTCCTTGTCACTTCGTCTCTTTGAGATGCTAACGCTGCTTCTTTCGAGCCAGCTTCAGCGGGCTGGACATCTGAGACCTTCCGCCCCTTGTGGGTGATGAATAGTTGAGACCTTCCACCTCTATGGTAATGTTCATCTTGACTTTCGGTGCGAGATAGCTAAATAGCTGAAGCGCTAGTAAACTTTTGGCCACTAAACTAACTAAATAACTATTTTCAAATTTCCCAACAACATAAGAACTATTTTATTGAATTTCTTGACCTAATCTAAGGAGTGAAATATGATATTTTGAAATGTCAGGCAAAAATTACGGAGTCAAAGACAAGAGCCGCGTGTCTAAATCGCCAAATCGGTTCAGTTCTCGACCTGTCACCCAAAATAAACCTGAAGATGAACAATTTAGTACTCGCGATGTATCTACTAAAGTTGACCCTGGATTAGAAAAAGGGTGTACAGCTAGCATTTTCCAAGAGATATTCGTCTCCGACACCTCCGACGCCGCGCGAGATCTCACCAAGAAAGTGACCAGAAGCAACTCTTCGCCGTCGCTTCTTGCGTCTAGTGAGTTTAAATACCATTTATACGCCAAGTGACTGGTTCTTTCTTTGACCTGCAATAAAAATTCTAATTTTTTCTGTACACGAGATTTCCGATCTCGGTTTGAAGTTATTTTTAAATTGCATTCCCTCAGCGTAGAGGACGAAATGTTCTGTAATTTTCCTAAACAACGTTGCGTTTTAATGAGAGCGAAAATGTCCTTGATGATTGAATAAGTTTTTCGTTCCTCAGAAGAAAATAAAGCTATAAGTGTAATGAATGATTATTTTGTTCAACTGTTATGTTCTCCCATTTTTCGTATCATGATCAACAAATCGTGCTTTTTCTGTTACTTTTGTTAATTCAGGAGAAATTTTCGTCTCCGAAGCAGCATTGGATTCATCGAGTTACGAAACTCTACATGAGCAAGAGAATGAGACGCCTCCTGAACCTTCTGATAATTATCGCGATCAAACACCGACTAAAAAAGGCTTGGATTATCTGGTAGTTCCAGTAGAATTCCACGGCGATCAGGCTTCGGCCGTCCGCAGTTCAGCCTCCGGACCCAAGCACCCTGACGATGGTATCAAGGAAGCTCCTGCAAGCGACTGTTCGGAAGCGTCGCCAGCTCCGGGGATGTCTGTTCGCTACCGCAGATTTGCTTCAGGTTAATATTATCTTTATTAGCATTGAAAAACGTTTGTATAATTCTTAAGATTAATTTAGGTGCAAAACAGTAAGTAGGATGTACCGAAAGTCGAACATGGGAAAATATAAACTGCATTTACCTCTGACGCTTTATTACGCGTTTACCCAGTTTTAATGATTAATAGTATTAATTTTTTACGTTAATATACCTGGCATCATGCGTTTTGTGTTTTATAATGTTCAATCTTCATTTTGATCTGTTCGAATAATTGAATTCCTCATTACACAATTCAAAAATCAACTAATCTTTTTTTTTTTGCTTTTTTAAGTTAGTGAACGTGAGATGCGTTCCAAGTCCCCGCTTCAGAGTCGCTCTTTTGCAATGAAAGTCGGTAAGATAAATTATTTTACATGAACTTTTCATATTATATTTATTCACATGATTTATTTTTGCCATAATTTGACACATGAACAACGTATCAGAAGTCATGCAGTCTTTTTGATTCTTTCACCAATTGCTTCAGTTCAATTTAATTTGTTATGAAAGTTTTGGATTCCATCGATACTCGCTCGCGTTCTTACGTGGCAATTTAAATTTTCAGTAAATAGCAATCCTCACTGCTTTTTAATAGTTGTTATCACTGTGCTTAAACCCTGCATTTATTTGGCTTATTGAAAATAATTATAGTTCTTTTACCGGCTCAGCTTTAATTTTTTTATCTTTGCCTACTATTGAAGTATTAAGTCACGAAAAGTACAAGAATCGGCAACAGGCCACCTCAGGCCTACTCTTTAGCGCCAACATCACTATGATATGTTATGTTATTGAAACCTTTTGACCTGACTAGATTATTACTTGCCTCTTCGTCATTTTTTATCATCGTCACGACTGCGGTAGTTTAACTCTCGTAAATTAGTCCAATTAATCACTGACAGCAGACATGGCTGTTTTGAACTTTCAATGCTCGTACTAAAAAATTAATGTACGAAAATCGTTGAAGGATGTTCTTGGAGAGGGATTGATGAAAAATAATACGTTATGATTTTATTTTTAATGTTATTATATGTATACGACACTGCAGAGAGGGGGCGTGAGGTGGTAGCCGTGATGGGTGCTGGTGACTACGGCACTGCGCTCGCCATTCGCCTGCGCAACGCAGGCTACCACGTGCTGCTCCTCACCAGGGTTACCAACCTCACGCGGTGGGCACTGGCTCCTGTTAATTAACATAACATAACATAATGATGTCGGCGCTGAAATGTAGGCCTGATGTGGCCTGTCGCCGATTCTTTTCCTTTTCGTGCCTTGTTCATAGATCTAAACTCGTTACTTTGATGTATGCGGTTACTCCCTACATTATTTACAGGCCTTAATCTACGGACATCATTCCTACTAATTACTTGTCCTCCATCTCCTCTGACTGTCCTTGAGCAGCCGGTGTTGTCTTGGCAGCTTTGGAATTAGAACTAATGAGATTCTTTACTCCCTGTTTGGGACTTTAGCATCCTAGTCTCTTGAGCATTTAGTGCATCTAGTTCACTGCATCACATATTATATGTATCCAATACATCTAAAACCATTATTTTGTTTGAAAATACAATACGTGCCACTATAAATTGCTATAAATATAATACTCGTCTATGCCTGTAAATTAGCAGTAGGCTACTGAAATAAACGTATCTTTCTTTCCAGAATACGTCTCAACGAGTTAGGCTACTCCGTGCTGGAGCCTCGCAAAGTAACTGAGGGCGATCAGTCGGTGGAAGACGCGTCTGCTGACGCTGATGAACCTTCGGACGGTGAATATTGTTTTGAACCTGGGCAGGGTGGCCCAGTGTTTACAGTTCAGAGTATCAAGATGGCGCAGAGAGGCGCGGGTTTGATCCCAGCTCTGTGCGCCAGTTTCTGGCCAGAATCGGCAAGGAGGCCGGGTGGTTAAGCGAAGCAAATTTGAAGCAGTGAGTTGCGCGTTCGAGACCGCAACAAGCTGTGAATATTCTGCGATGTTAAAATTTTCGACAGGTCTACGGCCTAATAAAAGCGGAAACCGCTATTATTATTATTATTATTGAAAATGGTCATAAAGGTTATAAAAATTGCATGATAATTCATTCAGGGTATGAGCTGTGTTGCATTTCTCTCCTTGATCGACCTCTAAAATATTTACTGCTCTAAATTGAGATCAGTGGATAAATGTATGGAAAATTTACTTCATTCAAACATGTTCCTTAGCTACATTATTGATTCAAGCAAAGGCATCATTGAGGTTAGGACATGAAATAGTAAATGAATATGTTAGTAATGACGATACCAATGAGTTTTAAATATATTTATCAAATGATGATATATACGTTTGTATTTTAATTACTCTAACTTACACACTTAAGCCGCTTCTAGACTCTCAAAATTATAACTTAAATCACAATATTGCGCAATAATATTGAGCGTCTAATGGCTGCTGGAATCCTGTTTTCGGTTCTGACGAAGGCGTGATCGAAGTGGTCACTCGTCATGACGGGCTGGCGAGGGCGAGCGTCGTCTTCGTGACGGTAGCGAACCGCGACTTTTCGCGTCGTCTGCTACGTCTACTTAGGAATAAGATCCTCGTCGACGTCAGCAACAGGTGATAAATTTTTGATGCGAAATCAAATATTTATATCGCATCTCCATCTGCACAATCATATTTTGTTGTCCTGGTATTCTTTAAGACACACAGTGTAATCTAAATAAATGTTGGGCTAGCTCGTCAAATTTTTTTTTACTTCTACCAGTAAGTCAGAATTCAGTAAGAAATGAATTAGTTGGCAGAAAAAAACTTTAATTTTATTCAGCATTTATTCAGGGCAGCAGTCTTTCTAGTCCTAAGCTCATCAGCTTCAAAGACGTCGGCGGTTCCACTCCCAAAGCCTGTAGCAGGCCATTTTCACCACCTCCTTGGAGCGCTTGTCTAAGACTACCTCAGTCAATGTCATGTAGAGTATAGTTGTATATCCAGTAAGCAAATGGATTTTCGTCTCATTTAGATTTATCAAAATATTATCGTTTTGTAACAAAACTTCACTCGCCACATCCAACCTGTAACTTCTCGAAAGGGGCTACACTGACCGCAAGACTCCTGCATGTAGAATTTACTAAGCCTAGCAATAGCATAAGTAATATCCTCCAGGGATATTATCACGCCTCCAGGGAAGGGCAAACCCAGCATTTCAGCTACTTTATCAAAATGCTTATTTTTAGCTACTCTCCAACCGAATCATCTATAGACTTGGTCTCATTTGGACGTCGATTTGGACCATCAGGATCCCAAGCAAGAGTGGTGTCAGCCCTAGCAACGCCGAAGAGCTGCAGGCTCTCGTTCCATCTTCGGCGGTGGTGAAGTCCTTGAATACGATCTCTGCGTGGTCGCTGCTCTGGCGCACTAAGCTTATACCTAAGCAAGTGAGTTTCTAGAACCTATGTAGTTTTTTATTTGCTAGTATAATTTCAATTACTTGAAGAACAGGCGTGTCTCGTTCCCTTCGGTATTAACCAACTTCTCGTTGATGCAAACTCTTAAGTTTCTAGAGCTTTCTATTGTCATCGCCATGCAGCAAATATTAACTTAATGTAGCACTATTTAACTTTTGATATTAAATATCAAGCTTCGTCCATTTTTATACTCGTAATGATTTTTTTTTTATACTCGTAATGATTTTTTTTATACTCGTATCGATTTTTTTATACTCGTATTGATTTTTTTATACTCGTAATGATTTTTTTATACTCGTAATAATTTCCCAAAAGAACCCAACGTGTGGAGACGCTGCGTGGGCGGTGCAAACGGTGCAGAACATCCTACGTGAGGCGAGCCTCCCGTGCACCCGCGCGGGGAGGCTCTGCAACGCTGCAAAGCTGGAGGGCCTCCCGCTCACCTTCTTCCCTGAAGCGCAGGTGGCCATGGGCATCATCACGGCCGTGGTCACCTTCTTCACCATCCTCAACCTCTTCCGGTAGCCGACTCGTGCGAGGTTATGGTGCTGTCCAAAACATACGGTAGCTTAGTTCTCAATTAAAGTAGAGGTATAGCTGATGGTTTTCTTCAGTAACAAAAGGCTCGACTTAAAATTGTAACATGATGTTTGTATCTACCAAGCATATTACTGGTCAACGATTGATTTGAAGGCCAGGCATGACGACTTATTCTGCAGTGTATAATGTTTCAATTGCTTCCAAGTTGCCTTTAATTCCATACTTTCATAGTTCTCTGTAACTGGAATGCGGTTCAGGTCTATGAATTTTTTTCAGCAATCAACTTTGTCCCCTTATGGCCAACCCTGAAACTTCTGTGTCTGATCTCTTCGAGAACTTCCTGCTCGACAACACGTTGCTAGGATGCGGACAGTCAGCCATCATGTTGCTGACGCTCACATACCTTCCAGGTGACCGACGCTATTTGTCACAGCACTTCAGCGACATCCGTTGTGCTTCATAATACAAATGTATAGCATAATTGAACTGTGAATGCCTGAATGCTTATGGGCAATACACGAATGAATGATCAGTGATCGAGAAATAAATAAATCTTGACTGGGACTTGAAGGCACATGCTTTTGGCAGGTTGATCCAATCGAGCTTCAAATAGATGGCAGCTGTATGGGATCTTTCTCCCGGAGTACCTCAATGACTTAACTGAAAGGAGTATCAGAACTCTGAAATCACAAGCATTGACGAATTACTTGCATTAACAGTACTCGGTTTATGTAGCAAAAGGAAAGAATGTTAACTGACAAGCCACGTGTATATCTTACCATTCAATGCAAGTTAGACTTAGTAGATAGATTCTTTTCGGAAAATTGAGATAATCAGTACACTGCGTGATCTTTCTTATCAAGGGATTCTTTCAAAGCAAAATCAAAATAAGAACATCAACGAAGTTTAATCGGAACTCCAGAAAAAAAATTTTTTCATACTAAAGCGAAATTGAAAAACTTCATATCGCAAAAATTGCATCTATTTCTGAAGGATAAACCTCATAGTGAAAACTATATTAATTTTATTATGCGCACATCTATGTGAGTGAGTATGTATAATTTTGAGCAGCATTTAATCTATCACATTTTGATATCGTTTACTAGAACAATGTTCTATTTGTAATCTTGTACCTCAGGCGTGCTGGCAGCTTACCTGCAGCTCTTGAGAGGAACCAAGTACCAGCCGTTCCCTGCATTCCTGGACGCGTGGCTGAGAGCCAGGAAATATTTGGGCTTGGCTGCTGCTATGATCATCTTCCTTCACGTGAGATGATAAATGTCACGGGGAGATAATTCCGTACACAACCATACAAGTTTTTACCATAGTTAGATAGACTATGTGCAACTTATCCACTTATGTGCAACTTATCCACGCGACAACATTTCTTCTCGCTTCGAGTCACTGACATGTGGAAAAGCCTCCCTGAAGATATTGTTGACGCTCCGAGTATGAACGCGTTCAAGAACAGACTAGACAAGGCCATGCAGGAGCATATGTTTAGTCTTAAAATGCCTCGTACCCTACGGAACAACTGATATCTAGAAGCGATTTTAAATCTACCGTCCGTTGAAAAGATCTGATCAAAAGGCCAGTCTAGCCAAGAAAAGCACAAGAATCGGCGACAGGCCTATCCAGGCCTATTCTCTAATGCCGAAGATACTATACTATACTATACTATGTGCTCCCTGACACAGTCATAGACTATGTGCTCCCATTAATGATCTAGCCTCTTCTATTGCTACCATGATGTCATTGGGAACAAAATAATATTTTGGGTGGAAGTTGAGTCTGAAATTACTAATCACTAACAGGTTAATTGTTTTCCCTGGTTTTGCCAGAGTCGTTCAAAATTATTTTTAAATAAGCCAAAAAGTGAAACCCCAGAGGCAGAACGAACCAAACCCCAATGGTTTGCAGAGACAAGAAGAATTTCTTTGCCCCAAAGAATAAATACCAGCCACAACTATTTGCACTTAACAACCAGACTTAACAACAAAAATTTATATTTTTAATTTTTTTATTTCTTTCAGATGCTGACGGTGATCTTATCGGGATCGGCAGGTTTAGACTTACTGAGATCAAACCTGCAGTGGATGTATCCGACCGCTCTGGGCTTGGGTAACCTGATTGACAAAAACTTTCATTATAATTAACTTTCCTATGCGGATTTAAACAAATTAAAATCCATCACCTATTTATTAGCCTTGTCAGTGATGTTCAAATTTATAATGTGTGCAGCAAATCCCAACAGATCTTTGATCAATTTATCAGCAACCAAATACTGTGTTGTCTTACCTGAATAATTTCTAAAAAATTTGCCTATAATTATACCTCCACGTTTCCCAGTTCCCGCTCTTTCAATGTGATAAAACGGCAAATGATTTAAATAAAAAAATCGAAATTTTGCGTTTGTAGGAGCCATTGGCGTATTGCTGCTGTTGATGCAGAGCGTATTCTCGATCCCTGGTGTGAGCGATCAGCTGTCGTGGTCAGAAAGCCAGTTTGTTTTTAGTCGACTTGGATGGCTTGCCTACATCGTTGGATGCTCTCATGTCGTCCTTATGGAATGGAATGATTTGCTGAACTTCACATCTTCGAGGCAGTGTTACGTGCTCATACAAGGAAGTCAGGTTAGACAATTCTGCAATTACATCAACGTATAGCTGAAGGCAGGTAAGAAGATTGTAAAATTCCATCAACATAGCGTGCTTTCAGGTCAGAAGTATATCAAGTTATATCCATTATATGCTGCTGTGCACTATGTTTCTGAGAAATGTTTCAACTTACAGCCATTTGCTGAAAATTCGCAGCAGCGATATTTTGATTGAAGAGACAAGACTTACGATGCAGTTGCATGTGATCGGGTAAATTTGATTTGTGATTTAACACAAATTTGCAATTTGAATTTATCTAGCTTTGCTGTGCAAAATAATATGAACGCGAACTAAGAGACGATTGTTTGTTCCACTTATTATAGATTGTGATGATGGCGGCAGCATTGACTGTTGCATTGAAAGTGCTACTCCTGCCGTTCGACTGGCGACTCACTGCAATCCGCAGAGGAGAAGGCAATCGCACACGCTCCAGAAAAACAAAACCAAGGAAGGAAAGAATGGCGGACCCGCATAGTTCTATCGTATAAATATTGAAAGTCAACATGAAGCCACGACAATTTACAAGAGAAAAAATTGATGCGAGACGGAAATGCCATACCACTATGAAATTATGTGATTCGCCACAAAACTATAACTGTAGATTAATAATTTCTATAGATTAATTATTTCGTTCTGAGTGCGAGTTTACTCTCAGTGTACGCTTCATGAGAAGCATTCGTTAAATTCGGGAATGAAAATGTAAGAAAATTCTGGATGAAATTCCCATCGTATTTTCACACAAGACTAAATTCCGTGCTCCTAGCATTTGTAGCCACGTAAAACTACTATTCATTTTTACAATCATGTCATATTTAAAATATGCAACGATACAAATTTGATTCTTTACAGTTTGGCTTGCATCAAATTATTGTAATTACTTCGCCAAGAATTGCACCACCCAATAAATTTACGCTATTTGATGATGACGAAGCTTAATTCTTAATTAAGTTTATTTATTGTGGCTCAGATCAGGCATGAATTTAACTTCAGCCGACAGGTTATGGGCGGCACAAGATGTAAAATGGCCAAAGCCAATAAAAAAAGCACTACATTTTATTTTTGGTTGATGAAATTGCATTGAATTAGGATAAAAATACTCGTGTGAATGGAATTCCTGTGTATAATTAAGCAGAAGCACACATACGCACGCTGAATAGCGCTTCTACCATAGTTAGCCACCCATTGATTGGAACCAAATTTGAATGATAAACTTGGTGACTCATAACTCGTATATGTATAGCTTGGTGACTCATTTAGGTGATGTAATAAAACTCTGTCGTAGAGCAACACGCACTCTAAGGCGAATGCAACAAGGAAACCGTCAATAAGTTTAAGCTTTTAGTCAGAAAATGACATTGCAATGCATAGAAAACACGATCGCCTTTCGAAATTTATTTTATTTGCATCATATTGATATAATTTTGCGCGTGGCAATCTCACTCGAGGAAGCCAGCACATGTGCAGGGTGCTCATTCAGCTCTGAACGAGCATCTGAACACTACATTTAAATTTACTAGGGCAATCCTTGCAATTTTCACACGCAACTACTCAGTAATTCAGTCTTGACTACAAAATCTTGTAAAATGCATTTGAACGAAGCTTGAGTTTTCATAGAACTTCATGTCGTTGGTGATGTCATAAAAACTTGGATTAGAAAAAACTATGGTTGTATCAACCTCTGGGTTTCTGGATCTGCATCGATGAAAGTCGTCGTTCTTCACTATTGACACTTCTTCAATATAATAAATTATGTATGGTGAGAGATAACATTTCTCACTATTGATACTTTGTCGCAAAAAAATTATGTATGGGGAGAGAGAGCCATGATTTCTCACAATTGACTGTTAGTGGATCAAATAAATTATCCATGCCAGAACGATCTCAAGAAACGGAAGCATGTTCTGGGCGGTCGCAAGTCCACTATTACTACTTACTTTATCCCGTCTGCACATAGCTTGCATGTCATAAAAGCTAAAAATACTGGAATAAGATGTAGCTTTTAGAGAAGGATTAAAAATTTTGCATGTACCCTCTAATGTACATAGGGCGTTTTCATTCCCACGAGAAAAATGAAGGATAACCTTGATGAAGGAAGTGTAAGTGTCGGATATCTTAGCCAAGTCACAACTGAACACAAGCGCAATACAAGAGCAGTATTACGAAGCTAGCTTCTTCCTGTAGCCTAATTAGAGACCTAGAATTAATGTTCTTACATCATATCACCCATAACATCAACAACATAACGTCAATTTCATAAAATATACAATTTAAACAAACGCGCGTACCAAACGCTGCATATACTCTTACTATTTACAATGAATACTTGCATTATATTCCGTACAGTGCCAGGACTATCATCTGGTGGCAGGGGAGCCACATGTCGGGCTAAACAATTGCATAAATTTTAATAGATTTGTCAACTTTATGCGCCCAAAATTGAAAATTACGTCCTCGACAATTTTTTTCTCTTTATTTCATGTACCCGAACGACTCATTATTTGTAATCACACAATCGATAACGAATAGGCAGGTTATACATATAATGCTTCTACATCAAGACCAAAAAAAATTATTCCTGTACTGTCAGTACAGTAATTGTACAGTAATTTTCCCCCGAAATAAAGAACCCAAGGGAATAAGATTCTTTGATACATTTGAGCTAAAAAAGTTTTAAAAAATTTCTAATACGATCATCACAAACACCACACTTCAAAAGCGATGATTAATAATACTTTCAGCATTTATATTATCCGTGCATTAACTACTTTACTCATATTAATCGCAACAAAATACAAAAGAATTCGTAGACACATGGCAATTTAAAAAATTACACGAGATACAGCAATTCAAAACTATGAATTTACCATTTAGTACTACCATTCTGTAGTAGAATTTCATTATAATTGACAATTTTCAACGTGCTACCTAAATTTCTTAATTCGATGACTGCAATCAGTGTTTAATTGAATAGAAATTAAAGCGAGAAATTTGAGTCAAATTTGAGCGTACGAGCAATGCAATTTTCGAAGACCGTCGCTACAGCGCTACTCTACGCGTTGTTATGAGCGCATCTACATGAAGGGATAGATAATGAGACAAGGGCCCATACTTTCAAAAAATGTAGGAGATCGTAAGTCCAGCAGCCAATCATTGATGGCCACGCAAGCAAAATCCACCAATCATAGACAAGAAAATAGAGCGTAAGTACTTACGTTCACTTAGCGAGTTTTGAAAGTATGGCCCCTGCACCTAATCTGGCATGGCTACTGCTACTTAATACCTTTATTTTATATTCGTATTTACCATTCGACTCTCCGCTCACGGATAACGAGGGATAAAAAATAGGATGCTCTGAAGCACGTTGTGCGGTCACCATATTTTTACGACCGATTAGGATGCCATTGAGCAGGAATGTGATTATTATTTCAATACAATTAAAAATAAATATTATATTAATTCTTTAATAAATTACAAGTTACTTCTTTCACTGACTGACCAAATGAACTATTCTATAACATTTCATAGCTCCGGTTAGAAAAAAAAATGACGGCAATAAATTCAGTAGCTGTTCTGTATAAGGTTTCCACAGTCTTGGGGTCGGAAATGAAGCTAAGCCATATTAAAAAATTCCATTACAGCGATGCTCGATAAAAGCGGAGTACATCCTTCAATGCGCATGCCGAAAGTCACGATTAGAGCGAGCAAAGCAAAACTAATTTTGTCAGAAGACTGATTGAAAAGCACCAAGTTGTTCAATATAACGAGATATTAACCACACACTCAAAAGACAAAATAATGATTCAATATGAAAATGAATTGGAACTGAACACTGAATAAACCATACTTAAGCCACGTGCTCCTGTGGAGCTACTCCGGGAAAAAATTGACTTGCTGAGCAATTTTCCAATTCAGAGTTCAATTGTTGCATCCCATCTGCTGATCACAGCCGCAGAGGCGGCAATCAAGCATAGTGCGGCATAACTGGACAGTAACAAACACATTTCAACACATATATAAGGCTGCATGTCAACTCCATGAATTTCTTAGAATTGCAAGTGGTCCGCTAAAATGCGGACAAATGTCTACAATAACCAGTGAGTAAAATGCTCACTTTGTCATGATCAATGTAACTCAAGCGTGATGTTCGTTCCTGCATTGAATGTTCACGATGCGGGTTCTATTCAATTGTCAATTGATAATGAGCATACGAAAAGTATAATTCAAGCAGCACATTATGATACGGACTTCCATCATTGAGAAATGAAATCAATTTAACAGTCATGAAACATCGCAATTTACGAACGAGCATTTGGGAGCTCGGCACTAGGACGCATGTTCGGAAATGTAATCAAATAAAGAATTCGTCCATTCATCATTAAGTGTCTAGGATGAACTAAAATGTAGAGCATACCCATCGGAGTGAAATGTCTTGAATAAATAGTGAGCCAGACACACCGTCCAGTATTATTTAATTAACGTTTAGCGACGCATGAAAACTTCATCCGAGCAATTGGAGCGCTACCCCAACCATCCGAGCAATGATAAAGGACTAAAATATCCCTCATCTCCAGCAAGTAAAAATGCCATCATATACTTATTTTCAACATCGGCGAGCGCAATCGAACGCATAATAAAGCTGGTGTTTATAAATTCATGTCTACTTAACCTATGACTGTGACATCGAAGATTTTTTCAAAGTCAAATCAGCGTTTTCCAGAACGAACGGTCGTCAGAGACATGACGGTCGAGGTGGATGGGTCTGTCGTGTTCTCAACACAAGGCTGTCGTCAGTTTGCAGGGAGTTCTGAAATTATATAGAAACATTAGGGCATCACAAAAGCAATAGACGTCAAATATTTAAACATCGAAATAAGATTCATTCATGGTTGCTATTACTGAATATGAGCGAGAAGATAACAGACTGATTACGACACAAACCAACACGAGACACGCCGGTAGAATGTTTACAGGTCCCAAAAAAATTTTTAACACCGAATTTTTGAGGAAAAGGTGGTTATTTGCCGTTTGTTCCAAAATTCTTTAAAAATGTGTCCCTATTTTAGTGAGAATACGTCATCATCAGACTGTAAATTAGACATTAGTAGGATAAAATATTAGGCATACGTGTTAAAAAAAATGCTTTCAATAAGCAGAAAGATGTTTATTGCCTAAAACACCATGGTTTCATCATACCTAACGTCCACCTCCATCGAAAAAATTAAATTTGCTTCGCAAAAATTATGAACTATAATCCGATGAGAAAAACTTCTGATAGATGTGGTCGTTTTTCTTGATCAAGAGTACGACAGGCTGACGAGCATTAATAAAAGAATGAAACGACTACGCAGAATCAGTGACGGAGCAGCCGTTGCAGATAGAAAATCGCTAACGAATCGTTAACGATAGAAAAATCGCTAACGAATCTCGATCGACGAATCGCTAACGAAATCGATCAACTTAAAACATGATGAATCAAGAACTGAAGGACCGGGAAAGACTTTGCAGAAGTCCGATGAAGAGCAGGATTTAAGGAAGTTGATCTACGAACAGATCCAAGATGATGTCTTTGCCACATCTACCGGCTGGCCCTGGACTGATCATGTGCTGTAGGCCGGCGGAAATACCAGGTTCGATCATCGCTCACGGTACTCTGAGTCAAGGTACTCTGGGAAGCACGGTTACAAGGATACACGAGGGTCATCCGGAAAGTAGTACCCGTTTGAGAATTGAACAAAAGGAAGTAAATATTAACAAATGGAAACATGTTTATTGAAAAGAACATGTATTACACTATGACACTATTACACCAGTGTCATATTCCTCTGCCGCCAGTGTATTGAGATACGCAGTCATGTGTTCCTTCAGTTCTTTGTCATTTTGAAACTTTGTCCCTGCCATGAAGTCCTTGAGTTTCGTAAACAGATGAAAATCTGAAGGAGCCAAGTCCGGACTGTAGGGTGGATGGTCGAAAATTTCCCACTTGAATTTTTGGAGAAGTTGTTGTGTCATCCGAGCCGTATGCGGCCTGGCATCATCGTGCAGGAGAATGACGACAGTAGACAACAGACCTCGCCGTCGATTTTGAATTGCCCGCCGTAATTTTTTAATGTTGCACAATATGCATTGGCATTGATTGTATCTCCACGGGTCATGATATCGATGAGCAGTACACCTTGCCGATCCCAGAAACTGGCGGCGGAGGCATATGACACTGGCATACAAAAACTCGAGACACGATACGACAAATGCTTAAATTTGTCCGGAGATTATGTAGAGAAGTAGTGTCATACATGTTCTTTTCAATAAACATGTTTACATTTGTTAATGTTTACTTCCTTTTGTTCAATTCCCATACGGGTACTACTTTCCGGATGCCCCTTGTAAATAACGGGCCACTGATGAGTGAGCGATACTTCAGGAGCACAAGCAAGAGATACGTTCTTATCAGTTAGTATTCGGGATAGAGAGGACCGTAAAAAAGTTGTTTAGATAAAGGAACTCGTACATCATTGCTCGAATGCGACAAACGAAGTTAACTTTTCAGCGTAGCTTGCAGACGCAGCAGCGGCGGTGACAACTGTTGCGGTAAGCACAAACAAGCAGTCAACATCGCTATTGAAAGTCCAACAACAAATGGAAAGCTTAATGATATTGTGTGGCGGGAATGAAAATCGTGGAACTTAAAAGTGTCGACGGAAAATGTGCTAACGTATCCCAAGCAATGCCATGAATGTATCCGACTAAAACCCAAGAAAAAATGCGCACCACTCGATATAACTAGCATCAATTCGAATGATCCATTGATAAAACGAACAATTTTAGAAGATCATTTCTTTATGCGTTATGACTCTGAAGGCGAAATCACACAAAAAAATCAGAACGAGAAATTAATAAGATATAAAATTCAGGAAAGGATCACAGTCATGGACGTACACCGACAACAGCACACGCAAGAAACATTGTACAATTCATGTTAACATCCAAAACTTGACGACAAAATAAATCGTTTAGAGAATGGATCCATGTTCCAAATAGCGACATCTCAAACTATAAGTTTACATCGGTCGTTTTACAAGATCTCAAGTCTCATTAATAATTACCTGGAGCAGATGCCGCTCTGTAGAAGGAGTTTTTGTTCAGGATGGGGATGGGGTGAGCCTCGGTGTTGAATACCCACTCGTCGAGGCTTATCAAGGAGTCGTCCGAGAAGATCAGGTACAGGTACTGCAAACAAGAGTTCGCTCATTATCAAGTAATATATTAAACTCTCGGCATTTAACCTACAAATTATGAAAAAGAATTTAAATCCAATAATTAATCAAAGTACCTACTACGTACATTCGTTCGTCATACTCTCAGTTATTTGACGTTAAAAAATACCGGAAATCGATCAATTATCAAGTAAAAATGTTGAAACACTTCTTTTACCTAACTTCAATAGCCTAACTTCTACCATGAAACTGGATGAATTAATTCAACTAAACACAAAACGAATTCATACTCAAATACTTTTAATCAAGATAGACAAAGAAGATATGAATGGGTATGACAATCTGAACCTTGAGAGTCTCAGCGAAGAGGAAGCTTTGTTGCACGTCATCCTTGTGGCTGTTCTCGAGGTAAACGTTCTGAATGCCCGAGTAGCCGCCCTCCACTCGGCAGTGCTTCTCCAGAGACTGCACGTTTAAGCAATTGTAGTAAAAATCACTAGTTATTCTTACATTTTGTATAAAAAACAATCATGAATACCTACGCATGACACGTATAACTGTGAATTTTATATAATGGTAACAATTTGTTCTTCATTTGTGCCAGACTTTTCAATTAGTTTGCGGCCGAATAAATTAAACAATCTCCCACCAGTCTATTACTGCTCACAATTAACACTCTACTGCCTGACATGAGTAACCAGAGCAATATTGTCACACAAGCCTAGCCGAAAAGCATACGTTCTAGTGAGCGCAAAATGACTTGCACTGATGGTTGCCGCCACGTTCGACAACTTTAAAATGTTCTCTGTTGCGTGCAAACGTCCTCAGGTTGCTACATTCAATAGTTTACGTATAATTCAAGTTGAAAGTTATGTTCCCGGAGAGTGACATATGGCGATAGAGGGTTAATAACACACCTGCACCATGTCCCAGGCCCAGTCTCGATACTTCTGGTCCTTAGTGTACCGCCAGAGGTAGAACCAGCCCTCGAGAACCTCTGGTCGCAAGATGTAGTACTTCTCTGATGATTTCAGTGCCTTCGCCTCCATTCCGTCAGAAAATCTGAACAGACAAATTCCATATCAATTATTCAGGTGCACATCAACCGGCAAGTACCGTGAAGAAGTTGCTATGAATATAATTGCTATGAATTTACCACGTTCGCAGCAGATGAAGAGAAGAAGGTCATGATTTCTATGAATTCACGACGCTTCAAGAAAACGAAGAAATTTACAATTTATCAAATTCAAAATTGATTTATGAATAACAAAGCAAAAATTCTAAAATCTCACCTGAAGCTTTCAGGTCCTAGTCCAGTGTATGTCCTGGCGTAGCTCTCGTGACATGTGTGGCCGAGCTCCTTAGCGATGTTCATGTGCTCAGCCCCAGCAGCGGGGATGGTCTGGCTGCCCAGAGCGAACATGCCTGCCGTGAAGCACGCCAAGTGGTCCATCTTGTGCTCCAGCCGGTCAAACTTGCTCTCCGCTAGGTACGTCAAACCGCCTCTGCAACATCCAACCCAAATATAAGCTTTAACACAAATAAAACTTGAATTTAAGCTCGCTGATATAAGCTTCTTAACACAAATAAAACTTGAATTTAAACTCGCTGATATAAGCTTCTTAACACAAATAAAACTTGAATTTAAGCTCGCTGATATAAGCTTCTTAATTCAGAAAAAACCTAAAGTTAAACTCGCAGATATAAGCTTCTTAATTCAAATAAAACCTAAAGTTAAATTCGCAGATATAAGCAACTTAATTCAAATAAAACTCAAAGTTAAACTCGCAGATATAAGCTTCTTAATTCAAATATTAATTAACGTTAAACTAAGACATTATTAGGTGCGGTGCAGTTAAAATGGCTTTTTTTCAATTCCAAAATAAGCTTGATGGGAAGACAGTCATATTATATTTTTAGTATTTTCAATCCAACGTAATTCCAAATAAGCTCGAACTTCAATATGGATTCCCATGGCATAAAAACAAAGTCTAAACTTCATCCAGAATAATAAGTTTCACAAGGACTGCTTAGCGCATGAGTGAATTCGCATCTGCATTAACCAATAGGCTAAAAATTAAGGCGCATGTAAAACCTTCATCCAAAAGACTGAAAATAAATAGTGAGGGACTCTGACTTGCTCTTCTGGAGCATCTTTGAGGTGACGCCGTGCATGGCGTCGAGATACATGTCCCTGGCTGTGCCGTCAGTGAAGCCCGACTGCACCCACTCCTTCAGGAGGTACTCAAAGAACGAGTCTCCCAGCGCACCCATGGACGAATGGCCTGCGAAACAATTGTGGTTAACAGGAGAGTCTTGCAGGCTCAGAGCAAACAGGTGCGAGGAGGAAGATTGCAGGTAGAGTGGATTCAGCAGCCAATGATGACAGAAACTTCTGATATTCTTTGAGAAATAATCCAAGATCACTCAATCTAACATTCATTCCACTAATAACTCAAGTTTGAACGCATTGAGGAAAGAATTGACCAAATTTTGTGCAATGGATCTTTCATAACTGTGTATAACAAATTTATTACAACACTCCACTAAAAAATATAGTAAAACATATGTAATCAACACGCGTTAACTTACTTTGCCCCCATTTCCCAGTCTTTGGGTTGAGGTAATTAGGATATAGTCCGCCAGGTTTTTCAATCTTTTGAAGGAAATCTCGGACGTGCAGGACCTTCTCCTTGAAGACAGGATCCCCCGTGATGTCACTGAGGTAACTGAACTCCAGGTGCAAGGTGCCAAATTCCGACAAGATACTTGAGCCGCCGCTCGCCCACGCATAGTTCTTAGCGACCTGCACCAACGATCAGAAAGTCACGCACGCCAAGGACAGTGATAAGACGTCGTGATAGACTGCTGAACGATGCTTGTCTTGCAATAATTAGGAAACATTGTTAGCATATACAACCACGAGTTCAGACTCTGGCATTATACAGCCACGCTAAATCTGCGCTATCATACAACTGAATCCAACCTCTGTATTCTCATAAATGTACGACTCATCAAGAACACCTATTTTCTTTAAAAAGGTCAGTGTATACGTGACTTACCTTCAGACTAATGACCAGAGAACTCATTGATTCAATTTTTCAGGTCGGCTAAAAAGGAAGGTTAACCTATATGACTAATCTTGAGCGAGACTAATGACCAGAGAACTCATTGATTCAATTTTTCAGGTCAGCTAAAAAGGAAGGTTAACCTATATGACTAATCTTGAGACTAATGACCTGTATGACTAATCTTGAGACTAATGGCCCTGGGGCCATACTTTCAAAACTCGCTAAGTGAACGTAAGTACTTACGCTCTATTTTCTTGTCTATGATTGGTGGATTTTGCTTGAAAGGCCGTCAATGATTGGCTGATGAACTTACGATCTCTTAACTTTTGAAAGGCCGTCAATGATTGGCTGATGAACTTACGATCTCTTAACTTTTTTTGAAAGTATGGGCCCTGGCCTATACTTTCAAAAAAAAGTTAAGAGATCGTAAGTTCATCAGCTTATCATTGACGGCCTTCCAAGCAAAATCCACCAATCATAGACAAGAAAATAGAGCGTAAGTACTTACGTTCACTTAGCGAGTTTTGAAAGTATAGGCCCTGAGAACGCATTGATTTAATTTTTCAGGTCGCCAAACAATTCTCCAGGCGAACAATTCAAAATGACGTACTTTAAAAATTTAAGTAGGTAAATACCTGACTTATCTTAAGACTAATGACCAGAGAACTCATTGATTTAATTTTTCAGGTCACCAAACAATTTTTCAGACGAACAAATCAAGATGACTTATCTTTAATAAGTCACCACTGACCCCAGTAGCGACGTTGATGAGCGCGTACGGAATGCCGGTAGGTGTACTGAAGGCGGGCAGGAGCTTGCGAGCGACGTGCAGAGCGCGGTCCCGGAACATAGGGTCGCCGGTGAGAGCGTAGCTTGACAACAAACCTCCTACGAACCTGATGTTCGTCTCGAACACAGACATCTCAGTCGACTGCGCATGGAAGAAACAGGTTCGTGACACAATATTACTCAGCCATGAAAGATTCATTTAATTCTAAACTAGGAATATTAGTTTATGAGCATATATCTTTCTAAAGATTTTAAGACAATCCGTTTTCACGATTCATGGAACTTTCCTTCCAGCATCGAACTCCAAGAGTAACATAATAATAATGCAAACAATAGTAGTAAATTCCTACCATCTATTACAAGGAATAATATTTGCATCACAATGCACGAATGCGTAAAAATAACCATTAGTCAAGTCCCTTTTCAGTGGTTCATTAGTAATAAGCCACATTTCATGAGTAGTTGAGTAGAATGAGTTGAGTATTCTACTCATTTCATGAGTAGAATATTTTTAAATGTAAAGACTGAAATCTTTTTAAGCAGTCAGTGAGGCACTTGAGCAGTGCGCCATAAGCCGAGGCGATCCTCTAAGCTGAAGCCAAGTGACACCAAAATGCATATGGGATTGTCGGCTCTGTGAAGCAAAGAAACAATGGAATACTAGCTGGCATTTTCACACAACGCACAAGAGAATTCTCAAGTAATACGAATCAGAATTCATACATATTCATAACTCGTTACCAGCATCGCAGTCTGCAACTAGAACTAAAATCTTAGCCATACGCCATGTGAATTTGAAAGCAGCCGCTATAGAAGTATAGAGACAAGTCTTCGTCCATGCGAAATGATGCAAGAGGTTCATAACCTACACAGGTCCGAAAGTCCCATTGAAGGCTGAAGCTGTGCATGTTTGTTATCTAAGCGCAGCTTAGCAAGAGCAGTGCGCAGCTCTTGCTGTATCCCATGAATGACCTCGCAAGTGATGAGTTTCTTATCTTTGATACTTGCAAGCACCACGCAACCGACGGCTGCTCAGATTACGTGTCTCATCACACGATTTATTTTAGCTTCACTAACACATTATTACATACATTACTAGCTGTCGCCATTAACCTTGTTGTTTGTGGTATCACAAGTCATTTATTTTATTACGCTCAAAAGTAGGAGAGACGACATCAATTGCATCGACAGGCGACATCTACGGAGAGTAACGAGCTTCAATTAAATTGAGACTAATAAACTGTTAATAATAAAGAATTGCAATGAACACGGGAGGTGTTTGCGCTGGTGTCGGCCTTTGAAGTGCTTAAATTAAATTATTTTCGCAGTCGTCTCGAATGAAACGTACTTTGTTGTAATCCAAAATACACAACAACGAAAGACCAGAAAAAAAATCACCAAAATCCAGTAATTCTATACGAAATTAGTCACGAGAATTTTTCGATAAAAATACAATTAAGTGCAAATAATTATAAGGAATAAATAGGGTACAAATCAGCAGCCTCCCAGCATTGAATGCCCGAGCACAATTTGGTGATGTGACGGTGCATACTAAATAGCAGCATGCAAGGTGTTACCCAAGTATTGGCTGAAACATTGCTCACAAGGGATTAATAAATTATTCACATATATTTACGGAAAAAAATTAATAAAACCACTTATTTTTAATATTAAAAAATTTGTGCAAAATACGGGTCGCAACGAGGCCAACTATACGCCTGAATATTTAATGTTTCTCCGAAGATGAGAGTTTCGAGCAAGTAGGCTGAGAGGCGCGAGGGCAGCCCTAAGGACACGCCTGCTTTAAAACGACGCCACTCGGACCGAACAACCTCGGCCTCTTGAGCCACTGGACTTGTGTCTTATGTGTGGAGAAGCCGCGAGTGTCGGGACAACGGCAGGCAAGCAGCGTCAAGATGGTTGAAATTTGCTGATCTCTTATACCTATCAGTTGCATCAACTGTCATCAGTGCACTATCAGTTGAGCCACTGGACTTGTGTCTTATGTGTGGAGAAGCCGCGAGTGTCGGGGCCACGGCAGGCAAGCAGCGTCAAGATGGTTGAAATTTGCTGATCTCTTATACCTATCAGTTGCATCAACTGTCATCGGTGCATCATCAGTAAGCCAGAGGAAGTTGAGGCAAACATTAATTATCATAAGATGAAAAAATATAAGATATCGTTGTGTTCAGCAATTAAATCAAATAAAAACTATTCCTTGTTGTCGCTATAAGATGCAATTGATACCAATTACGAGACATTTTTCAGCGGTTTAAAATTTCAACTCAATGAGCAGTTATTAATCTAGCAATTAATATCTTGACCTTCCAAGTCACATCTACTACCAATTTTAGCTGAAAATGTTACCACGCATTTTCGATACACTTCACACTTGGGAACACTGCATCAATGTCCATGACCTTCACTGCCTTTTTTTTCGTCAAGATCGTACAGAAAACTGATTTGCTGTGTTGATGGTGATATACGAACGTTTTACCTAACCTGGCGATTGTTTCTGACTTGAGTTTTCTAGTGCCACGCTTAGGCTTCCTGTTTCCATTACAGTGGGCCGGAAAATAAAGTTTACGACCGCAGCCCATGGACGCAAACTCAAGCCTTCGCGATACAACTGAGCGGGCGTTTGCATGTGTCGCGAGGTGTTGTGTGAACATCCAAGCGCACTCTTCGCGATTACTTTCTAAACCAATGCTACGATTTATTCGACTTAGTCTATGGATTTGGATGTGTACTAACATCTAACAAAGTGCAAAATAGGATAGTTTAGTGAGCAAATAACAGTTACGTGAACTAAGACCGAGTTAAAATTAATGTATTTTCCATATTCGAAGCTGAGCTCGTCATTATTGAACAACTCGTAGATTAGTTGCCCCACACCTGTGCCGTACATCTGTACTAAAAGTGTTATCTAAGCTAAACATCGAACTCTATGAGTAACCTAATAATAAGTGTAGTTTAAAGTAATCTTGAACTACACTGTTTGGAATACTGCAACAGACGCTGCTATCATGAATACAACAGGAATATATCTACCAACACATACGTATCGCTGATATAACTCTTATTCTTCAAGCTCCTTCAATGAGCATTACAAACGAATTTGAATTCAATAAATTTCGATGTCAATAAATAATTTTAAAGAGGCTATCAAAAAAACAATACGTCGTAGTTGCAGCTTCAATGAGCGTTACAAACGAATTTGAAGTCAATAAATAATTTTAAAGAGGCTATCAAAAAAAACTTGAACAAAATAATCTGGAACAAAACAATCCCCCACTCAGTGAAGTTTGTTTGTATAGTTATATTCTACTGAAGATACTAAAATTTTCTATAGCATCTCAAATCTTCGGGATGATCCGGTACAATAGCCTTCTTCATTGTCACAATAATTTATTTCAACGACTACGGGCAAACAATGAAACAGACAGCCCACACAATGAATTTTTCGCCATTTGATCTGTTTCTCTTCCAACTAATTTTCCCGACAAACTTTAGCAGATAAAAATAATATTCATATACATATTCTCGAGCTTAAAATTTATTCGAAACTTGAAGATAAAGAGAGATGAGATAGAAAGTATCACTCAAACAATATAGTAATTTATCTTCTGGTCTTTAGTAACTCATTTCTCCTCGACTAAATCTTTCTGTCTGACATTATTAGCAAGAAATAAGCTATTATCTGAATGTCGCTTATAATGTTCGATGCGCTGAGAGAAAGACTTCTTTCTTGAGCACATAGTGGCAAACTGGCAAAGCAGAGAGTTTTTTTAGACTCTCCCTCAAGTTCATTTTGAGTCCTATAAGTAGACCAGTAAACTGAGTAAAGTATCATGGATACCAGCATCATCATACATAAGAAATTGGTTTAGATCTTGAATAAATGAGGAAATTAAAAGTAAACTGATTCTAAAAAATCTCTGCTTTGCCACTATGGTTGAGCAGCACACACAAGTGCACATGCGACATCAACCAACTAAGGTACTGCATTCTCGATGAGCTCCTACATCTCATTTGACTTGCAGAGATAGACGAACAAAGAAGCTCACAAGATTCTTTTCAGTATCACTTGCAAACACCTGCATTAAAGATGTAAAGCCAAACTATAAGCACCACCAATCGACCACGCTGGAACAACGCATGCAACAGTTGTTCATGTACTTGGTGATCTAAATTAGAGGTAAAAATTTTTACTGGGTACGTTGACGAAAATAAGCACCAGCAAAAAGAATGGAACGATGTGTATAAATATAAGAATATAAGCCAGAATGAGCAACAGCACAAAGAATGGAACGATGTGTATAAATATAACAATATAAGCCAGAATAAACTAAGCTCTATCAGGACAAAAAAAAAAAGCTTCATGAACCCTATAGGGGCGATTTAGCTAGCGAAGAAATTGTGCATGGTCGAATAGACCTTCATGAGCTGCACTTCCTAAAGCATGCCCCGCCACGTGGATGAGCGAACGTGAGAAACATCAGTTTAAAATTACATTAGGTATATCAAAGGCAGATTTTCGATAATTTAGTGGGCATCGATCACGATTTTAGCATTTTTTTTAACCGAAGGCAATTTTGTAACCGTCTATCTGTCAAGACCAAGTGCATGAGATTAACATTTATACATGCGTGAGTGCAGTCAACGCGACGTTATACACAGGTTAATTTTGAAAGCATGCAGTCAAAGTGTCAAACGAACATATTTTGGGATCCAGCACACCCAGCGTATCCTGAGCAAATGCATTGCGGTGAGAATTACACCATTTCTATTTGTACCTGAATTATTCAATGTCTGGATTTGAGGTCATCCGACACGAATTTTTCTCTTATAAACAACGACTTAAATTTTACATTAACTAAAATAACCATTACATATATACGCCTAAAATGCAAATGCTCAATCGTAATTCAAACGAGCTTGCTCATATATTAACTTATAAAACCTCCAAAAGTCACAGAATGATAAATTATCAAGAGAGAGCATCAATTTACCATCTATTCATTGGTCTTATAACATTATTGTGCACTGTTTATGATCGTGCCTACAGTGTAATAAAAGGCTGAAGTACCGGCGTTGACGTAATATAGTACGACCATCGTGAAAGAGAGTGCGAATTCCATC